CCTCTAACTGGTTATTGTTTGAGTCTCTGGAATCTTCTTAAGATACTGTTATATCTACATGTAGAAATTTTTCAGTCTTATGCCTCTAATTGATTTCACTTGTCTACTTATGTTGACTAATCCTCCCCCCACCCCAGTTTATTGTTAAACAATAGTAGAGTTAGTAGGCATTTTTTCCATCTTCTTTATCATATTGGAAATACTTCTATTTTATACTACTTTTATATTGTACTTATATTTTTATACCAGCTTCTGGTTTTATACTCAGTTAAATTTAATCAATGAACAAAAGTATGAAAGATTAAATAATTATATGTTAAACCTAATGATTAAAAATAATCTATCTCTGCTACTTCTGGGTTTGGAGGAGAATGGTGGCCACCTGGTCTTGAATCTCCCCACTGGCCCTCCCCTCTGTTCCAAGCAATTAAAAACAAGGAGAGCAAGTAAAACTACACTTGACCCCACATTTCACAATCCTAGGAGACAGAGAATGTCATGGCCTTCACATTACATATAAGTTCAGAAATAAACTAAATTGCCATAAAGGTTCTATTGCTGTAAGTCTGTGGATGCCAAGAACAAGTATAGGGGAGACTTAAAAGACTGTATGAGAACACTAGAGTGGTTCAGAGTACATAGACAAAGCACAAATAGAATAGTCTCCTTAATTCCAGAAAGAGAAATTCCAATACAGAATATAAAATACTGAACACAGGTCTGGACATACTAGACCATATCACCAGCTCTTAAAAGAACGCAGGAATAGTAACCAAAGCCTCAGAAAAGTATTGCTTCTGGGAGATAATCAGCTATATAGGAAAGATGTGGTTTCCCTTGGAGATAGACCACTGAAGGGAAAGAACGAACTGTGAGGGAAAAGGTAAGGCTGTAATGGAAACAAAAGAGTTGTATCAACCCCTCCTTCCACCAATGCTCATCATAAATGAAACTGCCCAGAAAAAGGGAACTGTCAGAAGAGGGTGCTATCAAACTAGGAACCCTGTTCACAAAATGAAGAGGAAGAGAAAAAAAGCAGATCATATCTATATAAAAACTACTGCAAAAAAAAAGCTGAAAATGCTGATACAGATTCTCTAATAATCACAAAGTTGACAAAACTGTAACACTGTACCTCATACTGGATTAAATATTCCTAAATCAGCATTTTGGAATAATTAAAAAAACTACTTGAATCAGAAATTTGAAAACTAAGAAATGGACAAAAAAAGAAAAAAGGAAATGAGTGTTCATTGAATCCAGAAAAGAAGACATATTCAAAATAGTATTAGAAATAAAAACTAAATTACAAGATGTCCAAGGAACAATAAATTTGTATAAAAATTTAATGAGCGTTAAAGAAAAGCAGGGGATGAAACTCCAGAGAATGAAAATGACCTTAACAAAAAAAGAAAAAAGATTTTTAAAAATGATTGAATTGGAAAACAGGCAGAAGAGGTCCAACATAAGGCTACTTGGAGATCCTCAAGAAAATGAGAACAGCTGACTGGAACAAATATCTAAAATTCGAATCCAAGAAGACTTCTGGGAAAGAAAAACCTTGAATCTACAAATTGATGGAGCCTACTAGGTACCAGGGAAAATTGACCCAGAACAGTCCAAGAAGTACCCTAATAAAATTATTATACTTTAAACATTGTAAAACAAAAAGGATAACTTAACAAAGACATGTAAGTTGGACTAGCCATGCTTTTCACAAATAAGGTACAAAGCAAGGCAACAGTAGAGTGTCATTTCAGGAATCTTAATGAGTGTAAACCATAAAGCCAAAAAGATTATATCCAACCATTTGTCCTTCAAAAATCAATCAATCAAGGTTAAAGAAAAATGGTTTGAATTGTGCAAGAACTCAGAGAATATTGCGCACTTGTGCTCTTTCTGGTGAATCTACTATAGGGAGAGCTAGGGAACCAGGGGTGAGTAGGGAAACTGCTAATGGATGGATGGAGATTTTATACGTGTAGAGCTAACACCAAAACTAGAATGTAGAGTTTTGGTATATTAGTCACAGTTTGATTAGAGAAGTATACCAACTAGGGATAATAATGAATAAACTCATAGGGGATTCATTATAGGTAGTTAACCTTATGTCATTGTGCAGCTACATGGCTAACTAGTGTATATGAGGCTGTTGCTTCTATGTGCTTCTGCAGCCTACCCGAGTTTTCTGACTTTTCACAGTTTTCAAGCAGAGGTTTGTGTGCATATGTACCTGTGGTTTGGTTTGGAATTAAACTTCTAATTATTGGCGAATAGTATCTCCCGATGGCAGATCAGGCAGTTGAAGAGGAAAGAGGGATATAAAGTAGCAGAGAACAAGGGTAATCCAGAAAGAATGTGCAAACATGAGCTAGAACTTGCCGGGATAAACTGAAACCCATATAAGCTTCAGTTTAGATAACGAAGTGGAGCAAATCGCTATTTGGAGAGGCAGAAGGAGGAGATCTACAACCCATGTATTCTTATTGCTTTCATTTACCTCGCATATCTTTTTTATCCCTTTATTTTTAGCCTTTCTGATTCACTTTTTCTTAGATGTATCTTTTATAGACAGAATTTACCCAGATCTTTTAATAATTAAGAGTTAAGCCCATTGGTATTTATTCATATGACGGTTAATGTACAGGTATTAATGTGTATTTGATACTCGTGTTTATCAACATGATGCACTTCCTTTCCTGTTTTATTTTCCTAATCTTCTGATATTTAGAAATATTTACATTTATCTTCTATTAGTTATCTTTATACTTACAATTAAAAATAATAATAGCAAACTTTGTTGAGATTTTACCCTACATTAGGTACTATGCTAAATGCCTTACGCAGATTATCTCTTTTAATCTGCCTGACCTATGAGGCATTTACTGTTATTTTCCTCATTTCACAAATGAGAAAACAAATGAACAGGTTAAGTAACTTGCCCAACGTAACAGGTGTGTGGTTCTTCCCACTTCCCCTTTACCCACATTCCTCAGGCAACCATTCCTCACTGCATCTTTTCTCTCAGCTGCTTTCAAGGTGTGTGTGTGTGTGTGTGTGTGTGTGTGTGTGTGTGTGTGGCCTTCAGCAGTTTCTTTATGATATGTCTAGACATGATTTTAATTTATTCTATTTGGTGTGTGCTGAGGTTGAATTCTCTAAATTTATATTTTTAATCAAATTTTGAAAGTTAGGGCATTATTCATTTATTTTTTTTTCTGCCCCAATCTATTTATTCACTTTTTCTGGGGCTCCAGTTATACTTACTTAGATATTTTGAAACTGTTCCACAGGCCCCTGAGGTTCTGTTTATTTATTTATTTCAATCTTCTTTCTTTGTGTTCTTGAGATTGGATAATTTCCGTTGAGCTATCTTCAAGTTCATTAACCTTTTCTTTGTCATGTCCTTTTTGCCAATGAGATCATCTAGTGAACTTATGGTATTTTTCAGTTCTAAAATTTTTAGTTATTTTTTATAGTTTTTCATTTCTCTGTTTATGTTTCCTATCTTTTTACTTATTTCATTTGTGTTTTTCTTTACCTCATGGAGCATAGTTATCTATTTGCTTGAAAGTCTTTGTCTGGTAAATTGAACATCTGCTTTATTTTGGCATTGATACTGTTGATTGTTTTTTTTTCTGTCTCTCTCAATAATTGACCATATTCCCTTTTTCTTTTCTTTGACTGTCAGGTAACTTTGGATTGTATCCTGGACTTTGGAATGTGATATGGGTCCTGTTATAGTCCTCTGTGGAATATTGGTAGCTTTATTTTAGTAGGCATTCAACCCTCTTACTTCAGATTACAACTTCTGTCTCATCTCCGTCAGCTCTCTCTCCTATAAACCCGGTTATTCAGTTTTCAGCTCTCCAAGCACTTGCTATACTTTTTTGAATCTGTTCCATGCACTGTAGTTTAGAGGTTAAACTAAGACTTATAAGTGTTCATACTCAGAAATAAGGAGTTGCCTTCACCAGCTCTCTTTCCCTCAGGCTTCTCCCACACTGTCCAGGTTACGTGGTGGTTACGTGGTTTCTTGGGCCAGAATTGCAGTGGGGTTTCTATTGGAATTTTAGTGCTTAATACAGCTCTAAACCTGGGAACCACTCTCAGGGCAAAGCTAGGAAAAGGGTGGAAAAGGAAAATAAAAATTGGCAGCTCATTCTTCTGTCATTTACTTTTCTGAGTTTTGACCCTTCTGTACAATCTACCTGGTCACTTTTACTTTTCTCTGTCTTCAAGCATGTTTCAGAATTAATAGTTGCAATAGGGAAGTAGGAGTTGCCGGGAAATTATATCTCTGCTACCTTGGTAGTCAATATTGAATTTTTTTTACTGAATCCAGCCTAACAGGTGGTTTTTGTTGTTTGTTTGTTTGTTTGTTTGTTTTTGGTATTAACTTCTTAAAATAATGTATTGATTAGATAAAAGAAGTATGTTGTTTTCAGCAGTTCTTTCTACAGAAAGGTTTGTTCTAAGAAGCATACAATAAGAATTTTAAATAAATCAAAAGCTTTATATTATGGAAACGTCTTGCTTATATTTATTTTGTTACTCTATAATGTAAGGTTAGATTAAAAAAAAATAAGAGAGTAATATAACAATAAATACCTCCCCAAAACAGCATCATCAACTCTGAGTTTCAAAGGGACTTTATTATAGGTGGAAAATATTTCAGCATTTCATAGGAAAATAAAGACGATTTTTATAGCATTATCTAAATAAAAGAAAAAAAGAGTTTTAATCCTGCAATAGCCATATGAACTTAATCATATTTGTTTTTATGTAATAATCAAGATTGTCATGAGATTTAAATTTCTTAGTTTTTTATATGTGTGTTAAAATGCAGTTGAAGATCCCAGTGTAGTTCTACTTTTTGTTTTTTGTTTTTTTTATCTAAGGACTTTTAATATTTGTTACTGACCTAAAACCTAATGTGTGGATGATGATATTCAAACTTAAATATTTAATAATGTTTACATATAATTTTTTCCTTTCAGATGGTCTTCTCATTATTAGTGTTCACTCAGCTAAGTTTCCAAATGAAAAAGTCCTGGATAACATTAAGAGTGCCGTTCTTCGATACAACATCACCCACCCTGTGGTTAATGATGCAGATGCCAGCCTTTGGCAAGAACTAGAAATTTCCTGCTGGCCAACTCTAGTCATACTTGGACCTCGAGGAAACATGTTGTTTTCTTTGATTGGCGAGGGACACAAAGACAAATTATTTTTATATACTTCAATTGCTTTAAAGTATTACAAAGACAGGGGGCAGATCAGAGATGATAAAATTGGAATAAAACTCTATAAAGATTCTTTGCCACCTTCACCATTGCTATTTCCTGGCAAAGTAACAGTAGACCAAGTTACTAATAGATTGGTAATAGCAGACACTGGACATCATAGAATTTTGGTCGTTTGGAAGAATGGACAAATTCAGTATAGCATTGGAGGTAAAGTTTGCTTCTGATTATGATACATGTTTTCAGTAAAAAAATAGTTCAGGTAAATATAAAAGTTGAAATGTCTGAATGAAAACTAATTATAGAAAGGTGATATACCTGGACTTAACTTCCTAACACAAATTTTTTGTTAATTAATGTCTGATGTCTGAATTAACCTCTTCTTACTCCCTCATAAAACAAGCAAAACACCAAAAAAGCTTCAGGTCAAAAAGAGGAAATAGTTCAGCTTTTAGGTATATTTACATATTCAACCTTGTTTTGTTAAAAAACTGCCAGACTTACTGTGTCTTATGAAAACAGATGTTTTAGATTTCAGACATTTTTAAGTGGAATTATTATATTTCACTTTCCAAAAACGAATAGCCTTATCTTTTTAAAGATTATGTCAGTGCCCCATGAACCTGAGAAGTAGATTATAAAATAGATAAGCAGAATTTGTACATAATTTTCTCTCCTTTCTTCTATAAGAACTTGAACATGTTTCTGGATCTACTTCCAGAATAGAAATAGTTGTAGCAGCATGATACTTATAATGTGTAAGTATCATGGAAGCATAAATCATTTTGTCCTATATCTCCCTGGTCTTAGATCTGAAACTACCTCTTGGTTACATCTACATAATTAATAAACTCTACTGAGTACATTCTTATTAATTCTGCTTATGTAAGCTCAACTGACATCTGACAAACATGTTAGTCAAAGACAAAAGTAATTCATATCTTTTTGCAATCAGTCCTGCTTTAGTAATATATGCAGCATTAGTATGTAAAGTAGGAATGTCTTAGTTCCTAATATAAAAAAGCTAGTTGTATTCCTGTGCCTTGATGTTATTCTTAATATGCCAAGATGCAGTATGCGTTGTGTTTCATGGTATTTGTTTTGTTTTGGCTACTTGGTATTTCGATTTATGATAGGCAATGATGAAAATTTAATTGTTACTCAAAAAATGTCTTTTGTAGCAGCTTGAATTTAAGTGAATTAAGAGTGCTTAATAGATTCTGTACTTTTCAAAATAGTGTAGGTGAATATTCTTTGTTTAAAAAGGAACCAGCAGCAAGCTACACTACCCAAACATATTTCTAGAAATACTGTTACCTTTTGACATAGTTATTCTTTAATTATTAAAAAAGTAATTATTTGGTCAGATACACTTAGAAAATGCTCAAATATACTCAGATACACTCAGGTTCAATGTTATCTAACAGATTTTTATTGGTGATGGTATCATAATATTTCTCAAATTTTTTGCTCTGCTAATTTTCCTCATGAGGGAGTATAGTACACAGTATTTTCCAATCTCATGTAACCAAAGAACTCTCCCTTTTTTTTCAGGGAACTCTTATTGATATTAACGACAATGATAGTATTATTAACCATTATAGTTACAGCAAACACTATATGTCTGACATTATTTGAAGCACTTTACTTGTGTGAACTCATTTTTGCCTGCACAATGCTATGAGTTAGGTACTATTATTAGTTCCATTTTACAGAAGAACACAAAAGACTTGCCCAAATCTTCAGCTAGGAGATTCACCTGGGATTTAGATCAGGTCTACTGGGCCCTTAAGTTAGTTTTCTCCTTTTTTGAGATGGAGTCTTGCTCTGTTGTCTAGGCTGGAATGCAGTGCCATAATCTCAGCTCACTGCAACCTGTGCCTCCCAGGTTCAGGCAGTTCTCCTGCCTCACCTCCCAAGTAGCTGGGATTACAGGTGCCTGCCACCACAGCTGGCTAACTTTTTATATTTTTTTAGAGACTGGGTTTCACTGTTTTGGCTAGGCTGGTTTCAAACTCCTAACCTCAAGTGATCTGCCTGCCTCAGCCTCCCAAAGTGCTGAGATTACAGGTATGAGCCACTGTGCCAGGCCTTGAGTTTGTTATTTTTCTTTTTTTTTTTTTTTTGAGAGTTTTGCTCTTGTTGCCCAAGCTGGAGTGCAATGGCACTGTCTTGGCTCACTGCAACCTCTGCCTCCCAGGTTCAAGCAATTCTCCTGTCTCAGCCTCCTGAGTAGCTGGGATTACAGGCACGCGCCACCATGCCTGGCTAATTTTTGTGTTTTTAGTAGAAACGGGGTTTCACCATGTTAGCCAAGCTGGTCTCATACTGCTGACCTCAGGTCATCCGCTTGCCTGAAGCCTCCCTAAGTGCTAGGATTACAGGAGTGAGCCACCACGCCTGGCCGAGTTTGTTTTCTAGCTGCTATATTATACTCCTTTTTTATGGACACCTAGGGTAATGGGGTTCCACAAACAGTTTGAACTGCTGATTTAGAGGCCTTGAATTGCTTGTCTGCTGGCCATGGAAATAACAATGATATTTTATTGTGTTCTATTCCCCACCCTTGAAACTCTACATGAATTGTAAAAACTGAGAAGTGGACTAGAATCACTCTCTCTCATAGTGTGTATGATATATTAGACTTTGTGACAAAGTGAAATAGTAGCTAGGAAGGATTCTTAACCTGGGGTCCTTGGACTCTTAAGAAAGGCTCGAATGGTCCTCGGGATCTAGGATTGTTTGCAACAATTTAGCCATGTGTATTTTTCTAGGGCTAATTTTCCTTGTATTATCCAAGGAGCATAGCTTGCATAGCTTTCAGAATTGTTAAAAACTGTTCATCTGCTGAACAATTGAAATTATTTTTAAGTCTTTGTAGTCTAGGTAATGGATAATTAGAATGCTTTTAAAATTATTTTCTTCTGATTTATGCTACTGTGCTTAAGTGCACTAGTAATTATACTATGAGCCCTATCATTAGCAAAATTCACTCTTGAGAAAAACGTTCCATGGGGAACATTTTAGTTTTTAGATGGATGTACCATGTTATTTATATTAAAATCCTAGCATTAAATACAAGTTTTGTTTTGTTTTACCTTGAGATCACTTCTTAAGTGAGAAATTTCATCTTATTTTAGGACCCAACCCTGGAAGAAAAGATGGAATATTTTCAGAATCAACTTTTAATTCTCCACAGGGTGTAGCCATAATGAATAATACCATATATGTGGCAGACACTGAAAACCACCTTATAAGAAAGGTAATTTTTTATTTTAAATTTAAGTTTTAATACTTATAATCAGAAAGGTGATATGTATTTGCTACATTAAATATTTGTAGTTAAAGGGTGATGGTTCTGTATGTCCGTGTCCTTATTCTGCTTTTTTTGAGGTACTTTAGTTTTATTCTCAAGTATCCTCTTTTTATTTGTGTCAGTATGTAGTTGCCACAGGAGAAAACCCCATTCAGTACTTTTTTTAACCCTTTGTTTCAAAGCTGTGTGCCTAATCCCTCAAAAGCTCCTCATTTTGAAGTATTTTTCTAACTGCTAGTTTATAATGATCGCTTGCCCTTTTTCAGTTAAATTTTCTCAAACTAGAAAAAAAAATCATACCTCTCCTGCTTCTTGTTAACTCTTATGCTTTGGCTGGAAATACTGATTAGCCAGTTAGTCTTAAAACTTGTTTTATCTTACTATAAAAGTAATATGTGTTCTTACTTCGAAAAAGTCAGCTAATACGTAAAGGTAAAAAAAAGTTCCCTGACCATTAATTCCAGTTCCCTATAGGTAATCATCCACTGTTAAAGTGTGTCTTTTGGAAATTTTCTATTCTTATAAAAATAAATTGATATAAAAAGACTTTAGAGAATTTTTAAAAAACAAATGTAATGATGCTGTACATACATAATGTTTTGCAGGTTTTTCTAACTGTATTTTTTTCCATATTAATCACGAGTGATATGACTATATCACACTCCATTGTAGATGTACTCAGTTATTTCAGACATTTCCTACTGATGGTTGTTTTGGCCAAACCATTGGTCTTTACGTTGCCATATATTTGTAAAATAACCAAGTTCATCATACTCATCCTGTCTAAATACATTGTTTCAGATACTTTCTTGCTTTTCTCACTTTTTCTTTCAATATTGACATTTATCCTCATTTATTTGAAAACATTATCACCTATATACGTGATAGAAAAAAATACATAGAATATATAATAAATGCATTGTGGTGTAAGTCTCCCTGAGGCCTAGAAATATGTTTTGTCTACTACTGAATCCTAGCACCTAGAAAAGAACTGGCCTATGTATGGCAGGTATTCAACAGATATTTGTTGGATAAATTTGTGGGCAAATAATATCTGTTTCATGAAGCATTTTCAAAAGTGTGTATTCCTCTTAATATAAAAAAGTGTTACATGAACAGATTTTGTGGGTTAGTACATTAAAGCAGATATATTTTTGAAAGTCTTGGAACTTTCTTTTCCCAGACTTAAATATGCTAATGTATTGTTGAGTGCATTAAGAGGGGAATATTTGTGCAACATTTCTAGACTTATTTGACCAGAGAGTCCTTTATAGGCAGAGCTTCTCAAAGGACTAATGTTTCTATGGTGTATATTTTAGGGAAAAGTGGTTTTACTAAGTTCTTAATGATCAATATTTTTTATCATTATCTTTTTGGGGTTGTATGCTTCTATAATTCATCAAAGGGCCTAGACATCCAACAGTGTATTAAAGTAGTAAATAGCCTGTAGCATTCAGGGAGTACTTGTCCTTTTTTAATTGTATTTCTCTTGCTTTACAACTTAATGGGTTTTGGAGTATTGACCATGTGCTACGTTTCAAATATTTATGCATTTAAGTAGCATAATAACAAATTTAGGTTACCTGAAATTGTTCTATTTGATGACTTAATATGGTGTCTGCAGAAATGGAAAGTAGTGTAAGTCTCTTATTTTTCCTTTTAAAAATATAAGAATTATTTTTCCTTTTAAAGATATAAGAATATTTATTGTTTTATTTTTATTTAAGACCTCATTTGCAGAGGATTGAGTTGATTATACTCCTACATTCACAGCTAACAAACATTATTGTTCCATGCAGATCCTTCTCATTAAGAATAATTTATTTAATTTATAGATTTTCCTGCTTTCCTATCCCCCGCCTACTCTCATTTCCCTTACATAAACATACCTATAAGCAACCATTGTGGTATATTTAATGCATATATTTTTATTTGTATGTGATCTTGTAAAACAGTGTTTTGTGTATATTTTTAAATTACTGCGCTGTATTTTACATATCATAAAGTTCACCCATTTCAAGTCTACAATTGATTAGTTTTTAGTAAATTTAACAGGTTTTGCAACTGTAATCATTAAGTTGTTGTTAAAACATTTCATCCCCCAAGTAAGAACCCACGTGACCAATTACAAATAATTCCTATCCCCTCCCATCCCTAGGCAACTGTTAATTTCCTTTCTGTCTCTATAAATTTGCCTTTTCCAAACATCTTATATAAATAGAATCATATATGTTTTCTTGTATGTGGCTTCTTTCATTTTGCATATTAAAAAGTTTATATATGAAATAACATGTCAGTAGTTCATTCCTTTGTATTCTGTCATGTGAATATATGACATTATCAGTTCACCATTGATAGATATTTAGATTGTTTTTTGGCTATTGTGAATATTTTGTTATTTTTGGCAGTTATGAATAATCTTGTTGTGAACATTTATATATAAGTTTTACATGGACATACATTTTCATTTGTCATGGTGGATACCTAGAACTGGTATTGTAGAGTTATGTGTTTTATGTTGAATTTTTTGAGAACTGCTAAGTTATTTCCCATAGCAATTGCACCATCTTACCCGTGGGTTCCAATTTTCTGCATGTTCACCATCACTTTAGTTTTTATTGTTTAGAAACTCTAGCCATCCTACTGGATATGAAGTGGCATCTCATTGTAGTTTTGATATGCCTTTCCCTCATGACTAATGATGTCAAGTATCTTCTCCTGTACTTATGGACCATTTTTATGTCTTTGAAAAGTGTCTGTTAAGATTCTTTGCCAAATTTTTAATTGGGTTGTCTTTTCTATAATAGAGCTGTATATTATTTGTATATTCTATGTACGGGTTCTTCATCAGATATATGATTTGCAAATGCTTTTTTACATTTTTTTTTGCTTGCTTTCATACTTACTTAATCGTGTTCTTTGATGCATAGAAGTTTTAAATTTTGATGATGACTAAATTGGTCCATTTTCTCCTTTTGTAGCTATGTTTTTGTTGTCGTAAGAATCCATTGTGTTTTATAAAAATAAAACCCCTGTGTTTTATTCTAAAAGTATTTTAGTTATGGCTTTATTAATTATATTTAATTATTTTAGTTATGGCTACTATAGTTATGGCTGTATTTTAATTATGGCTATAATTAGGTCTTTGATCTATTTTGAGTTGATTTTTGTATATGGTGTGAAGTCGGGGTTCAACTTCAATCTTTTACATGTGGATATATAGGTATCCCAGAAACATTTATCCGAGAGACTTGTTTCTCCATTGAAGAGCCTTAGCTGCCTTGTTAAAAATTAGTTGATCATAGATATACGGACAGGTCTATTCCATTGATCTCTATGTCTGTCCTAATGCCAGTACTTCACTGTTTTGATTGCTGTAGGTTTAATAAGGTTTGAAATTGGGACATAGAAGTCCTTCCACTTTCTTCTTTTTCAAGATTATTTTGGCTATCCTAGGTCCCTTCCAATTTGATAAGAATTTTAGGACCAGCTTGTCCATTTCTGACAAAATCTTTTGATTGTTTCTTATGTAAATATGTTGTCTGTAAAGACAAATTCCCTTCTGATTTTTAAACTTCCTGTTTCCTTTTACTATATTGCTGGCCAGTACATCTCTTGCTTTTAAGCATTAGTAGTGATTGGTGGGTTTCTTGTCATGCTCATAATCTTAAATACATGTAAATTTTCTCCAAAAGTTTAATATTTGCTATAGCTTTGGGGAGTAAGATATCTATGAAATAAGGAAAATTTCTTTCTTTTGATAGCTACATTAAATATGCAGTAAAGCAATTAAGTGAAATATTGACTAGAATCTAAGTGGCAGGTATATAGATGTTAGTTATAAAAATCTTTTAACTTTCCTGTGTGTTTGAAAATTTTCCCAATAAAATGTTTGGGAGAAGGTCTCAGGAGATGAAAGCAGAACATATTTTCCCAGTAGAGTATATTAGTTTTTCAGTTTATGAAGTAAAGTCAACATAGTGTCATGGAACTGCCTGGGTTTAGGTCCCAGTTTCTTGACTTACTAACTGTGGGATGTTGAAAAAGTTACTTAATGATTTGTGTTTTTGTTTTCTCTAAAATATTGAAATCATAGTCATGTAGTTATTATGAGCATGGCTGGATGACTCGTTGGCATGCTCACTATTGGATCAGTGCTTGGCATATAAAAAGTTTTAATGTGTGTCAGTCACCAGCTGAGCACAATTGAAATATGTGCATTTAATTTTTAGAAATGTATTTTGCTACGTTGTGTTTTAAAATTTCATTTTCTTTAATTTTTTTTTTTGTTTTGTTTTTTAGTTAAGATGAGGTCAATGCCAGATCTGTTGGAGGCATGCTGGGAAAAGGGGATAAGAGGGAAAAAGTGGGAATGGACAGGTGGGGAAATGAAAGGGACTGATTGTGTGCATTTCAGTAAGAAGTTCATTCTATAATTGACTAGCCCTTTTTTTTCTTTAAATAAAACATTGTGTTGCACATACACTCTATATGCCTATTGAAAATCTTTACACAGCAGAAGACAAAAGCGAGAGTAGCATTCATTGCATAAAGCCATCCTTTATATTTCTGTAGATTGACCTAGAAGCTGAGAAGGTGAGCACTGTAGCTGGCATTGGAATTCAAGGTACAGATAAAGAAGGCGGAGCACAAGGAGAACAACAACCCATTAGTTCCCCTTGGGATGTAGTTTTTGGAACGTCAGGTATGTGAACTTTTAATATTAAATGTAAAAGTAAATTTTACTTAATAAAAGTAAGATTTAAAAATATTTTTGAGATGGTCATTTGGATTAATTCTGTTGCTAGTTATTTTATTTTATACTTTTATACCTATGCCTCGGAGTTTGTTAATTGTGTAAAAACAAAGCGAGCAGTAATACAGATATATATTATTATATACTAGGGTATATATAATATATAATATTACATATTATATTTTATCTGTAAGATAGATTGTGTTACTCTAAAGAATTATATATTAAATGCATCTTCCAATTAATGTAGTTCTGAATATTCTTATATTGAAAAGATTATAGTTTCAGAACTTCAGATTATTCTTGAACAGTAATCAATAAAAATAAAAATAAATTTATTAATTTATTATTTTTAAATAAGGAACTTACAGTGTCCTTACATAATCTAGTTTGATAAAGAAATCCACTGCCCAAAAAAAAAGAAAAAAAGAAATCAAAGAGGTAGCTGCTTTTTTAGATTGAAATTTGTGTTAAAGTATGATAGCTTTTTTTGAACAATTAAACTTTTACCCTACTGAATTGTATAGACATTGATAATAAATGAAACTTAACCTTATCTTTATTATCTTTATTACCTATAATAATTGACTAAAAGAAATTGAGGAGTACTCTTATTAGTATTCTTATTTTTTATTGGCTCTTAGTGATACTGAGATGATCATTTACATGTCTAAAATTGGATTAATGAGTAAGCAAAGTTAGTAGAATACATTGAAAATGGAATCTGGGACTAAATGGTTGGTGTCTTGTTAATATATTTAAAGTGTGTGTAACCACCAGCTTCGTTGAAGGCCTTTACATTTGACATAATTTTCTGTTATGATGTCAATTTAATTATGATTATTTATTGGCAGATTAATTATGCCAATTTAATTATGATTCAAAGACCCTACTTTTTTTTCTTAGTAACTTTTGTAAAGCACTTAATATGCATAAAATAAATGAGTGATCTTCTAGTACTACGTGCACTTAACGTTTATCTTAAGTATTTTGTGTAGGTTGTTTTTGAGAATTCTGTTTATCGAATTGAATGTTGTAAACATCTGTAATTTGTTTCATAGTTCACCAAGGGGGATGGTAAGGGATATGTAGAGAATTTTGAAATAGTAATACAATGAACTAAAACTTAGTCTCCATTTTATTACCCTGCATTAGCAATTCTAAATAATTTCAGGGCAAATCCTCATCAGTACTTTTCACTTTTACTACCTGCCTTTGATACACCAGGAGGCTATTAGAACATAAATTTTATAGATGGGAAAATAGTCTGAAATATATCTATCAGTAACATAGTAGTAGTGGTTGATTAATTATTGCTTTGGTATGATACTGCCATCTCTCAAGGAAGAAAAATAATATGCCTTTTATGTGTAAACCCCTAATGATTTATAGTCAGTAATCCCTAGAGTAAGTTAGTTATTGAAATTTACATTTTACAACTTATAACCTATACCTACTGTGTCGGTTGGTAATTGCCACAAAAATGCTGCATCCCCAAACTTTTACAAACCTAAGCCTTTATTCTTGCTCATATATGAGATTAGAGTTCATCTGATAAATGCTGAGCCAGACTGGGCTTGGTTCTAAGGTGTTTCTTAAGTCCAGATCTGGTTCATTTGTTATTCATCTTCCTTGGACTAATAGCTGTCTCAGACATTTTCTTCTCTTGACAAAAGGCAGGAGTACAAGAGGGTAAGACCTCTTTGCTCTTGACATGTTTTCCTACCTTCTGTTACTGAAATAAGTCACATAACCAAGCTCAAAGCCATGGAGCAGTGATGTGTACTTTACCTATGATGAGTCCATGGCAAGGGTGTGGATATATAACATTACTAGAGATGGGTGAGGAATTGAGAATAGTAATTAACCTATCATATATATCAAAATTTACATTGCTTAAAAATAAGATATACCTTCCTGGATGCTTTGCTAAGTTAGATTTATGTAATGGCCAAGAAGTACTTAATTTTTTTTCTAGGCTAAAATTTTTTAAATCATACTTTCTGGCATGGAATTTCTGGTTGTTAATCTCTATGTTGAGAATGCACCCAAATTGCTTTGCAAGGAAAATTGTGGTTGTTGATAAGCACTCCCTCATGTTGCAACTGGAGTGACTGTTTCAGACTCAGATTTTTACTAAGTTCAGTTTTCATTAAACGAAATGAATCCTACCTTAGCTCAACAGATCATGGTTCAGCATTTAATTTACAGCTGAAAATATCTTTCTTTTTTTTTTGAGACAGAGTTTCACTCTTGTTACCCAGGCTGGAGTGCAATGGCGTGATCTTGGCTCACCGCAACCTCCGCCTCCTGGGTTCAGGCTATTCTCCTGCCTCAGCCTCCTGAGTAGCTGGGATTACAGGCACATGCCAGCATACCCAGCTAATTTTTTGTGTTTTTAGTAGAGATGGGGTTTCACCATGTTGACCAGGATGGTCTCGATCTGTTGACCTCGTGATTCACCTGCCTCGGCCTCCCAAAGTGCTGGGATGAAAATATCTTTACTGCAGGTACTTGGCAGGAGGAGTAATCTTGCTTCCACTTAATCTCAACGTCTTACAGAATGCTCATTAATAGAAAATGGTTTTCAAGTATTGTATGAAAGACCTGCAATCGCAAATGACTGCTCTAGTCCATGAGTTTTTAGCCTTGTATTATATACCAAGGCATTGGTGGTTTGGCTTTATAACGTACTTATAAATTACTGGGTGTTCTCAGAAATTCTGAGAGTTTAATATTTGGAGAAATTGGTCAGATTTGGGCCAGATTTTCAAAGTGGTATTTTACTCAAAACATTTTAAGGACCACTGCTTTAAATTACTCTAAAATCCAATCCTGGATTAATTTATATTGTCAGAGTATGGAGAAATTGGATCGTAGATTATTTGCTCTACTTATGATTATTTTTACAAAGTTGTATTTTAGTATGAGCTGTTCTATAGTACAAGTAAACAAACTACAGCTACATCTAGCAGCCTGGACAAATATAACAAGGAATATTTTGAGTGATAAAAGCAAGTTACAGAATATGTACAATATAATTTCTTTATATGTAGAAATCTACAATATTTCTTTTAAAAAGTACAGTGGCATTTAATACAATCATTGGGAGATCCATTCAGACATAATAAAGTTGAAAAGAAAAAGGTAAATGTACATTTCATACTAGTGGTTCCTTGTGGTAGGAATAGGAGTAGGGTATGATCACAGAGGGATGCACAGCAATTTCAAATAATGTTGTCTTGAGTTTGGTAGTGTGCACATAGGTGTTATTATTTTACCTTGAAATGTGACATGTATTCCATATGCATATTTAATGAACATTAAACATTAAAAAGAAAAAATAGATTGGGTAAAGAGAATGAAATAGAACGAGGACAAATACACTGTTGAATGTATATTTAACCAAGGATCCCAGCTTAATAAACAACATACTTCAAGAAGAGATTAGGCAGGGGTAGCTATACATATATCAGACAAAATAGACTTTAAGTCAAAAACTATAAAGAGACAAAGTCATTATGTAATAAAAAGGAGTCAGTTCATCAAGAAGTTATAACAATTGTAAATATGTATACCCAACGCAAAGCCCCTAGATATAAAAAGCAAGTATTAATAGATCTGAAGGGAGAGATAGACTACATTACAATAATAGTAGGCTTTGATACCCCACTTTCAACATTAGATTATCTAAACAGAAAATCAGTAAGGAAGCACTGAACTTGAACTATGCTTTAAACCAAATGGACTTAACTCATATTTATAGAACAATTCAACAGCAACAAAATACATATTCTTCTCAAGTGTACACAGAACATAGGCCATATATTAGGCCACAAAACAAATCTTAACAAATGTAAGAAGGTTGAAATTTTATTGAGTATCTTTCTGACCACATTGGCATAAAATAAGAAATCAGTAACTGGAGGAATCTTGGAAAACTTGCAAATATATGAACATTAAACAAAATACTCTTGTACAACCAATGGGTCAAAGAATAAATTAAAAGGGAAGTTTTAAAATGTCTTGAGATAATATAAATGAACATGAAAACTCAGCATATTGAAGCTTACAGAATGCAGCAAAAGCAGTCCTGAGAGGGAAGTTTATAGCAATAAATGCCTACATCACAAAAGAAGAGAGATTTAAAATAACTTACTGTCATGCCTCAAGGAACTAGGGAAAAAATGAAGGACAAAATAAGCCCAAACTCAGCGGAAGGAAAGAAATAACGAAGGTCAGAGCAAAAGTAAAGAAGACAGAAAAGATGAATGAAACTGAAAGCTTTTTTTTTTGGAAAGTTAAAATCAACAAACTTTTAGCTAAACAAAGGAAGAAAGGTGACTCAAACAAAATCAGAAATGAAAGAGAAAACAACTAGTACTACAGAAATACAAACAATCATAAGAGACTACTAGGAGCAACTATACACCAGCAAACTGGGTAACAGAAGAAATGGATGAATTCCTGGCAACGTGCAAGTCACCATACTGAATCAGGAAGAAATAGAAAAGCTGAAGAGACCAATAATGGGAAAGGAAATTAAATAAATAATAAAATATTTTCAGTCAAAGAAAAGCCCAAGACTCAATGACTTCACTGCTGAATTCTGCCAAACATTTAAAGAACCATACCAATCATTCTCAAACTCTTCTAAAAAATTGAAGAGAGAATACTTCCAAACTCATTTACAAGACCAGCATTGCGCTGATACCAAAGCCAGTTAAGGACCCTACAAGAAAACTACAAAAAATTCTCAACCAATTACTAGCAAACTGAAGGCAACAGCATATTAAAAAGAACATTTACCATGATCAACTGGGATTTATCCCAAGGAAGCAAAGGTGGTTCAACATACATAAGCCAATAATTGTGATATATTGGCATAAAGGAGAAAAACAACATGATCATCTCAATAGATGCAGAAAAATAATGTACAAAATTTAACA